TGTTGTAATGTTTGTTGATAATTAATAAGCGCCATTTCTAAAAAAAGAAAAGCTTCTTTCAAACCAGCTTTACCATTTTGTTTTGCTTGCTCATAGTCTTTTCTCAGTTCCTCGATAGAAGAAGCCATTATAAATCTTTTCTTTTCTTTTCTCTTACAACAGCCAGAATATTCCAAAGGAAAAATAAGACAATCCCAAAGTTCTCAGTCAGTCCAAACCAAGACAGAGTTCCCACTCTCTCCTCCTGGGGTAGTATCAATTAAAGAAAAGGAAAGTCCAAATCTGTTTCTTAAAGTCTTATTACAATATATTTTAGTCTCAGTCCTTAAGGCATCTCCTCCAACAAAGTCTTAGCATACAAATATTTTTTTTAAGTCCCCTCTTTTCCCACTCACCGCTTAGAGCCAGTTTTCACCTATAAAAAATAGGTTTCTTAATGTTCACTTTTTATTCCGTAAAAAAAGAGGGTAAGCTATCCTTTCAGCACCATTAAACTGCCGCTTTTTTCCTCTTCTCGAAGGTATCATTCAGAAAGTCATGCTTTTCAGGAATTTTGTTAAATATGTCTTAGAGTCCTAGGAACCAAGAAAGACTTTCTCCTCTCAAGCACTTTCTCCACTTCCTCCTGCGCATTCTTACCCGGCTGCCAGCTTCTTTGTGGCGGCCATTACGGACCGCCGCTGCACCGTCCTGGGAAAAGGGGGTTCTGCTGGCCGGGGAGGGGGTCTGCAACACCCCCAAACCCTTCTCCGGATCCCCCCTACCTTCAGCTGCCCCTGCAGGGCAGCCTAGCTCCGTACCCGTCTGGGTCGGAGCCCCAAAAACGGCTAGCGCAGCAGGGATCGCGCAGCTTCGCAAATCCCTGCCGCTCGCGAAGCCGACAAACCGGAAATCCCCAGCCCTCCCTTTCTCTTTTTGAATGATATTTAATATGAAAAGAAACCCCTGTTCCATTATTTTCTCTCTTGTGCTGTTATTATCCTTGGCTAAGCAGAAATTAGAATATTTTACAACCTAAGGTTATGCATTCTCATGTAGATTAATTATATTTCTGCTTTGCTTCCTTTGACACCAAACCCTAGATTGGTTTTATCTTTAATTTTAAAAAAAAACGGAACTTATTTTGTTTTCCTTAAGTAAAAGCTGATATTTTTGTGCAATAATAGATATAGCAGACCAATCAGACTCTACCTTTGTTTGGGGCACAAGCTGCTATGCAGTGAACAGGTAAGTTGTGTTTCTTTTTCATTCTCCCAACTCTTCTGCAATTCCTGTTTAATCTAAATAGAGAAATTTTCTTAGGAATTTTTCTTGAAAAGTTTTGCTATAAATCAGAGACATTGTGGCTTATTGCTGACATTTAGAAAAGATATTTTTTTTGTTCTTTGGTGCACTGTTACAGATTAGTCCTCAACTTATGACCATTCGCTTTACCGACAGTTTGAATTAATGATGGGCTCAGAAAGGATAAAGCTTCCAACCAATGCAAAATATCACACATGCGCACCGCAGTTGTGTGATCACGATCAGGGCACTTTGCAATCTGTTCACACTTACGACTGACTGGTCGCAAAGCTAGCATTGCTTCATTAGGATAGCAAAGGATTGCAAAGAAAGCAAAACCAGCAGGATTTCTTCTCAGCTCCCCCAGTGTTACCAACTGCATTTCTTCTTCCTGCCATCACTTCGTGGTAACACTGAAGAATATTTGCTGCTGCACCTGTGATTTTTTTTTTAAGTCCACCCTTTAATATTAAACCTGTCATGATCTAGATGTGAAAAGTACTTCCCAAGCTGATAAGGGGATTAGTAATTATCAAAATGATAACACCGTCAGTTTGTCATTCCTCCTCACCCTTCTAAGCTGTGTAGCATTGCAAAAAGCATTATCTAAATCAGTGGCCCCCAACCTTTTTTGTGCCATGGCCCGGTACCGGCATCACAAAATGATCCGCGGCCCGGTACTGGCATCAGCACGCATGGCAAGGCGAGCCGAGCAACTGGCCAGCCAGCCGTCCCCCGCTTCTCCCCGCCACCTTCAACTCCTCCTTTGTACCTTTGTCGATGGGCTTCGGGACGGTCGCTCGGCTCGCCTTGCCTTGGGTGCTGAAAGAATCCTCGCGCCTTAGTTTTGTTCGAAGCCGCCCCCCCCCCTTCGATGAAACAGGCGCGAGGATTCCTTCGGGACCCAAACGCCGCTTTCCAACCGGAAAAGCTCACCGGAAGCACTTTCTCATCAAAACAAGATGGCAGCGCCCAGCAAACCGGCGGCCCGGTAGAAAATGTTCCACGGACCGGTACCGATCCGGGGCCCAGTGGTTGGGGACCCCTGATCTAGATAGAATATGTGTAAAGAGGTTTCATTTGAAAATACAGGTAGTCGTCCACTTACGACCACAATTGAGCCCAAAATTTATGTTAAGTGAGTTTTGCCCCATTTTACGACCTTTCCTGCCACAGATGTTAAGTGAATCACTGCAATTGATAAGTTAGGTGACCTGGTTGTTAAGTGAATCTGGCTTCCCCACTAACTTTGCTTCTCAGAAGGCGGAATTTTGATCACATGATTACGGGGATGTTGCAAAGGCCATACATTTGAAAATGGTCATAAGTCACATTTTTCAGTGCCATTCTAACTTTGAATTGTCACTAAATGAACTGTTGTAAGTCGAGGACTGCCTGTAGTCACTCAGGTTTTTGTGCTACAACCTAATTTTTTTTAAGTGAACCATAGTAATTGAGGTTTTTTTAGCTTGATTTCCTGAATTAATTATTTCCTGTTATTGCCTATCTAACAAAATGAAATTCAATGTAGAAAAAAGTAAAGTCTTACACTTAGGCAAGAAAAACCAAAAGTACACATATAGACTGGGTGAAACCAGGCTCAATAGCAGTAACTGTGAGAGGGATTTTGGAGTCTTAGTGGACACCCAGCTAGCTAAATATGAGCCAGCAGTGTGCATCAGCAGCCAAAAAAGCCAATGCAATCCTAAACTGCATTAACAGGGATACAATCAAGATCTAGTGAGGTACTAATACCCCTCTATAAAGCCTTAGTAAGACCACACCTAGAGTACTGCATCCAGTTTTGGTCACCACACTATAAAAAAGATGTTGAGACTCTAGAAAAAGTGCAGAGAAGAGCAACCAGGATGATTAGGGGACTGGAGACTAAAACTTATGAAGAACGGTTACAGGAACTGGGCATGGCTAGTCTAGTGAAGGGAAGGACCAGGGGAGACATGATAGCAGTGTTCCAATATTTATGGGGCTGCCACAGAGAGGGAATCAAGCTATTTTCCAAGGCACCTGAAGGCCAGACAAGGAATAATGGATGGAAACTGATTCAAGGATTCAATCTAGAAATAAGGAGAAATTTTCTGACAGAACAATCAACCAAAGTTGTGGGAGCTTCATCACTGGAGGCTTTCAAGAAGAGACTGGACTACCATTTGTCAGAAATGGTGTAGGATCTCTGCTTGGGCGGGGGGCGGGATGTTGGACTAGATTACCTACAAGATTCCTTCCAACTCTGTAGAAGTATCTGTACAGTCTGGTGGATTTGGAAAAAGACCATGTGAGATTATTTCAATGACTCCTTACTCCCTTTACAAGGGATGCTTCCTCTCTGCAACTTTTGATATGCAGATCATAGTGATTGATCCTCTTATTAGGTTGTTGACTATTGAAACAAATTGTCAGCATCTTCCTCCAGCAAACCTGCACTAAAACCAGGTGGATATCAACATTAACCAATTGCCTCAAGCAGTCACCCATGTAAGGCAGCAAACAGGAAAGATTCAACTCCTATTGCCTGTTGCAATCACAGATTATGGGCCAGCGGATGCTGCTGGAACATCATCTGCCCCCGTACGTTCGCCACTTCCTGTCCTAGCCACCCCATTCCCAGCCCCCAGGACTGACGATCTTAACTGGGGCTTATTTTTTTTGGGTAGGGCTTATATTATGAGCATCCTGAAAAATCATGCTAGGCCTTATTTTTGTGGAAACATGGTACTGGCCGCCTCTGACTGCTTTTTCAACCTCATTCCTTGTGATGGAACTCAGAGAAGTTTAAAGCTTCCATCATTAACATTTTATATGAATTATATATATCCTTGTCATTGAATTTCCCAATTCTTGAGTGGCATTTATGCTTGATAGACAGAACTGCCAAAAAGGCAAATCCAGTTTTAGATCATCGGCCCTGAAAACTAGCAATGTAATAATTACAATCAAGATCCACCTTTAATGACTCAGGTAGAAAGGTGTCAGCTAATTGAAATTTACTAATTGCACTAAGTTAAAATCAAAAGTGTGGGTGTATGTAGCTGCCTTCCAGCTTTACTCCAGAGATGTGGGTAAGAATAAAGTAGCATTAGTTAACCAACTTAAAGAGAGCCTTTCTAGTGAACTGCATAATGAGTTGGTTTGATAGGACATTCCTTGTATCTTAGCCTAGCTAATGCAGGTACCGTGTTTCCCTGAAAATAGGACCCGCTCTTATATTTTGGGGGGCTCCAAAATAAGCACTACAGCTTATTTTCAGGGAAACATGATTTCAGGATGATCAGCCCGGCTGGGCATCCTATCCCACCCTGGCACATGCACAAAAGATGGCGAGTGCATGGGAGCTGATATTGTCTGGCAGCTGCAACCTGCTGGCCCCTTGGTCAGCACACTCAGGTTACGTAGCCCGCACAGCGCAGGTGAATTGACCACCTGTCCAAGCATCAGATAGCATCAGGCGTGGGGGGATGGCAGGCAAACTGGATATGCCACGCAGGCTGCGGTAAAGCCGAGAGTCGATGGGTCAGAGCGGGCAGGCAGTTGTGGGAGGCTTGTCTTCACATGATGGTACCGGCAGCAGACAGAGGCAGAGGGAGAAAGATATAGGATGAGAAGGAGGGAGGGGGGAGAGAGAGATCCTATTGACATCTCTTCTTTTCCTCTGCTTGCTGTTCAGAAGATCCTGAAGATAAAACTATGCAACTGTGAGCAAGTAGACTTCAGTTGCCAGCTACAGCAATATATGCTAGGTTTCTATATAGTTGTTATGCAAATAAATGCCCAAATCAACCAAGCTGGGTTTTCTCTTTGTTTTTGTTACTCTTTTTTTCTTTTTGTCTCTATTCTGTTTTATTAAATAAAGCAAAAAATAACATCCCTTCTCCATGTAAATGTCAGATAATGCAATGTAAGAATTTAATAATAACCTATTATTTGAAAGTTTCCGTCTTGGGGCTTAGTTAAGAGCTAATGTGGTAATGTTGCTTGCTCATTTATCAATCTTAGTTTAATTATAAAATGGCAACAAACCTGGGGGTGGGGGGGGTGGAGGTGAATAGAGGTTGTTCAGTACCAGAAATAGCACAATTAAATGCTGAGTAGAACTGTAGCAAATGTCAGTGGCAAATCTGTTTATCTTTCTGTTACTGAGGAACATACAGGGGTATTAGTCCTGACCTACAAAAACTTTAAAAATTATTGCTTGAATAATGAACAAAGCATTAGTCCTTGAGTTATGACAGTATTTGGAACTGGAATTTCTGTTGCTAAGTGATACGGTTGTATCCCATGACCACCCCACTTACCAATGGCAATCCAGGCATTCTCTGTTGCTAGTGTTAATCAAATCCCCCTGGGCAACGACCCACCCCAACCTAAGCCATTGCCCCCATTTCTGCCCTTTTGGCTGCCCGACACTGTGATTGTCTCTCTCGCCCTGGTCTCTGTTCACCCCATGGAATGCGATTGCGCCTTGCCCAAATTGCGTATATCTGCCTTGGCGAAGCTTTGAACTCTTCCAAAGCCTTACAAGAAATTGGTATGTCTTGGGAAGAAAGCCTGGTGTGGCCAGGTATCCCTTCTTAGCAGTGAGAGGAAGAAGAAGACAAAGGTCAACTCAGGGGAGAGGCGTGCAGGGTTGGCAAAGAGGAGCCCAGGATGGTTGAGGTGGCAGAGCCCAGAGGCAGCAAAATGCAGGGCAGCCCAAAAGAGCAGGCATAGAGGCGGATGACTGGTAGGAATCCAGTGCAGGTAGGCTGTTGGGCACCTGAAATTTTGATTACATGATCATGCAGGTGCTGCACAACCATAACGTCAGGGACTGAGTGCGACTACCATTCATTCACTGCTGTTGTAACTTCAAATGGCTGCTGAATGAATGCTTGCTAAGTGAGGACTATCTACATATTGTTCTGCCTCCTGTAAAAAATGCACGTTACATTTAAGCAAAAGCAGGAGCATGAACATTTCCTTTTTTTTCTTTTCCTCAGTCCAAGATCCAACCCAATAATAGGACATAGGAGCCATCTAGCTTCAGGCCTGCGAGCTCCTAGAACTTTGCCTTTCGTTCTGCCATGGAAGAACTGTAAGTAATGATGTTCTCTGCATAGTAGATCTTGGATCGTGTACCATG